TTCTAAATTCATATAATTATTCATTATTTCTCTTAAGTCTCATTGAAATATCAATATAAACAAAAATTGGATATTTCTGATTGTTGATGTAAAAAAAAAATACAACATACACATTATGAAGAACAGGCAAGAGTTAATTCTTGCTTTTGTAGCATTTCACCTTTGTATGCATAGAGCTATTTAATAATTAATTATATTTTTAGACAAACTGTATGAGGCATTGATAAATCCAATTTAGCTAGAATACTAATGCCTAATGATTGCAAAAAAAAAAAAAAAGCTTTAGCAGAGTTGCCCTTGCAAATAGTTCAGATTTTTCTTTGATAACTATTTATAAAGCATATCAAAAATATATATTAAAAACACACTTTAAAGAGTCTAAAACTCACATGCACACATTTATGGGAAAAAAAAAATCTTGTGTGTAACGTGGAGCATGTTACCAGGGGCTGTGAAGGCAAGCAATTCACTTTATAGTTAATTACATAGAGAAAAGCCCACTACTGACCTGAAAAAGAAACACATCTATTAATAGCATAATCCTTAACATATCTGAGTTCTTACGAAGCATATTACAAATTGAAGAACCCGACTTCAAACGCACATCAGTCAGAAATATTTAATTGTATCACAGGAGGAAACAATAAGGAAAACATAACTTCACAACAATGTATTAATGTTAAGATCATAAAAAGAATTATAGTTTACCTCTGAGACAATGATCATGCATATCTTAGGAACGGAGCATGTCCCAGTGGCTTACATGATGAATAACATCCAAGAATGTATGCACTAAATGAATCCCTTGAACTTTAGAGTACGTATAGAGGTATCTATACCTAGAGAAAAGCAATCACAGAGTCAAGAACTTTAACAGTATTTTCAATTATGAAACTAATACATGTGTTCATTTAAACTTCCCTTGTCCCTTGTCCCTTATTTCGTGCAGAGTTTATGGTATGCCTTTTAAGTAGAATACTTAATTTAATTAGGAAAAAAACACAAATATGTAATGCCTTTGCATGATACTTAAAAAAGGCTCATATGCTACAACTAGAATTAATAAATAATATAAAAACAAGTTAAGCTTTTATGTATCACATCATTTACACCAGGCTATGCTCTGTGTATGTATATATATATATATATATATATATAGTGTTCAAGTAGAGATTGTAGCCGTATTAGTCCAGTGATGTAAATGCAAAAATCAGATAAATTTTGTATCTTGTAATACCTTTTTTATTGGACTAACAGAATTTTTTTTTTTAAAGTATACATTTTTTTATTAAGTTTATTACAAAAATACATATAACAAAAAACATACGGACATCATGCTCCATTAATACATAATCTCTGCATTAGGTACAGATTAAGCAAACATGCAAATATACTTAACATTAAACAACATTATCTGCGGGATCAGGCAAGGGGGGCGGGGGGGGGGAGTTTGCCTGGGCTCAGGAATCCTTATGTATCAAGTGCAGCTTTAATTTACAGAGCGATTTCCAATTTATTGACCCAACCTTGCCAAAGATCATGTCTTTTTGGGGCATTCAAATACAGTATACTCAAATATCTTTCCATCCTCACCTGAGCACCGATTTGTTCTCTAATAGAATCCCAAGTAATTACTTGGTTAGATTTCCAATTCCGTGCAAGAACAATTTTAAATGCAGTAAAACAGTGTATTATAAAACATCTGTTCGTGTTTGACATATTTGGCCAGTGCATATGCAACAAAACCACTTCTGGTTTCCTATCTAGCTCCATTCCCGTTATATCCCTAATAAATCTAAAATAAAATCTGAATATCTGAACAACTCCACCATATATGGAGAAATGATCCCTCTTCTTTATCACATCTCCAGCATCTATAGGAGACCCCTGGGTACATCTGGAATAGCTTACTTGGCAATAAGTACCACCTGTATATCACCTTATAGTAGGTCTCCAATAGATTCAAGCATTGAACTTGTTGACAAGTATTATTGATAGCTTTACACCATTCTTGTTGATCTAATAAGCAATTTAAATCTTTTTCCCATTTAAGCTTTTGAGGAAAACAGATTAAGTAATTAATATTTCTAATAACTTCTATTACTTTAGCCAAAACCTTAGGAATAATCTCATTTGAAAAAAGAGATTGTAGCAGCTCTAAAGGTTTCTCAGTCGCAATAATAAGATGTTTCTGCAAAAAGTACTTAAGCCTCAGGTATGTGAATGCCTCAACTTGGGGAAGTTGGAACCTTTGTGAAATAGCGTTGAATGTCATTAACTTGTCTAGATGTACTATCTGTGACACTTTGTTTATTCCTTGTACTCTCCAACTATCCAGAGAGAGATCTTTCACATTCGCTTCTATTATCCTCATATTTGAGGAGTCCAAAATTGCATACCTAAGACCAATTTTTCTTTTAATTTCCTCCCAAACCGGCACCAGTTGGGCCCAGATCTTACTATTATTGGTATCAATCCCCATTTTATCCATAGTTTTCTAATTCCATATCATGCTATCTGGGTTGTAACCCTAGGTCTTCCATTTCAATATGAAACCAACTAACAGAATTTTTTAATGACAAGCTTTCGGAAGCATTTCTGAGCAAGACAACACGTAGAATTCAAAGTTGAGTTGTGATACAGCGGTTAAAGTGACATGAGTGCAGATAAGACACGGGTTTGATAGAAAATAGACAACATTCTTGCAGAGGGTCATAAATGCCCTGTTTAGTATGGGAGGGGTTGAAGTTCGAGCTGTGAAGATAACTGCACCTGTCTGTGGGTTTTCTGTAAACCGAGGTGTGGATTGTGCCATTGTTACATATCAGTGATGTCCAATGAACCTCAAAAGAAATAATAAAGAGAAAATAGTGCTCTATGTATAGGCTGAGTCACAATAAATATTATAATGAGTATTACTCACACTTCTGAGAGCAGACACACCGCTCTATGAATCAATTGCAGGTGGTACAGTCCCCACCAAGGATCTAATAGTAGGTCCACCACAAGATTCCGGTACACAGCAGAAATATCCAGTAGTGATGATATGAGGGGCTGGCTGACAGACTTTGCAACAAACTGAGATCAGGGAAAGAAAAAAGAAAAAAAAAGAAAAAAACAATAGTGTTCTCTATATAAGATAGGTTACATAAATAATATAGAAGGAGGAATAGAACTCACATTTAATAGACACACCTCTTCATTATTGACCAAGCGGAGGCGGTATAATCCCCACCAAGGATTCTTTAATCTGGTCCTTGCTTCAGAGGTGAAATGATGCCAGGTATACAGAATAAAATGGTAAAATATAAAATAAAAAATAAATAAAAAGGTATATGGCAAAATAATGGTATAAAAGAGTAGCCAATATGCCTTTATTGGAATTAACAGAATAAAAATAGTAGGATGTACAATGAGTTTCACCCTACAGGGCTTTGGTAAGTGATTAAAAAATTGCCCAAATGTTATTGGATTGTATTATCCTTTTTGGAGAGTTTGCTAGCGCCAATTTAAGGCTGATGTGGATGAGTGCTGCCCCAACTTCTGATGTGTTAAACTGTCCAGACACTCCATGTGTTGGGAGTGTTCCTTTAAAGGATCACTTGTGTATTTGTTACAGTAGTTTGCAGGCTGGTTTGATTTTCACAGGGACATTAAAAGGCATTTAAAGTAGCAGGTAAAAGAGGGTGATCATGAAAAAGATTTTATATTGAGTGTTGACACCATAGTTGATGGGAGTAGCAGAAGAAGCAGAAGAAGATTAATATTAGAATATTATTGTTAAAATACATGAGTAGAAGCAACCCTTAATGAACCAGAGGTATGTGTTTGTAGAGGTTTGATGGTGGGGATACAAAGCAAAAAAGAGCAAAATTAAGAAATATATCAAATTAAGCATGAAGTAACTAGTGCATGAAAGTAGCTAGTCCTTGAATACTAACAAGGTAATGATAAGTACCGATACAAGAAAAACTACAGAGGGAGAGAGGGTATAGTGGGTCGATACAAGCAGAATTAAGTAAAAAGACAGAAATGGAGATAAATGTACTGTATATACATATCCAAAGAAAAGGTATTAATCATAATATAAAATCACACAAATTATACATTTAAGACACCAAGTATGACTGCAAAGTTCATGTATACAAAGGAGAATATAAGCTATAATTCCACATGAATTGCGAGCAAAGAATTTATGCATTCGGTACTTTTCAGGTCAATGTGACTTGGTTTATTGGTCCATATAGATCAGATCAACAAAGACGAAAGTGTCGAACGAATGTGTTGAACTATAGTTGCTATAGGTGCCTTTTTTGCGTTACATATAACACCTTTAAAAACATTCAGTTATCGTCACGCTGCCGTTATTACTTTGTATTACTCCTACTAAGCTAAAATGTGTCCCTTCACAAATGTATCCTAATGTAACAACAAAATGTCAACGATAAATGCATTGTAACTGTAACATTAGCAGAGAAATCGTATAATCATTAACTATTGGCTGTTTCTAAAGTTAGGGAAAGAAAATATCCTAAATAAATACCTGCAACTGCTGTATACACTTAATAAAAGTTAAATGAGCCCACAATTATAGAAATATGTACTATCTATTATGTTTCGATTAATTCTCACATCTATACAAGACAAAATAAAAAAATAGAAGTAATAAATAAAATGGCAAATCTTACTTTTAGGTTGTATTTAAATAAAAAATAATGAACTCAAAGCGCACCAAGTTATAGAGAGAGCCACCCAGTACTATAAAAGTCTTCAAAATCATTTAATGGAAATATATATATCACCCTCACGACCTCACTGTGCTCTACATCCTAGCTTCCACAGTCAGACAGATAGAGAATAGAATGCAGTATTGGAAAAGTAGCAGTTTCCATAAATTCATTACAAGTGGTGCCATATAGTGATGTCCCGAACTGTTCGCCGAACGGTTCGCAAACTGTTCGCCATGGTTCGCCACGAACGGTTCGCGTGGACTCCAGTCAGCTGACACATTCCAGCCAATCAGCAGCAGACCCTCCCTCCCAGACCCTCCCACCTCCTGGACAGCTCACTAAGAATGCAGCTTCAAAATGGATGCTGTCCAGGAGTTGGGAGGGTCTGGGAGGGAGGGTCTGCTGCTGATTGGCTGGAATGTGTCAGCTGACTGGAGTCCATGGCGAACAGTTTGCGAACCGTTCGGCGAACAGTTCGGGACATCACTAGTGCCATAACACTCGACGCACGTTTCACAAAAATAGATTATCAGGAGGGTACCAGCCAGCAGAGTGACTTGGTTTAATTAGCTCTAAACCTAAAAATATGGGAAGAGAAAGACCAAATGCACACTGAACTGGAAACACGTGGAAGGAGTTGGTAAAGACCTGAAGAAGGCTTGTAAATTAACTCTTTAATGCGGATTCTAACTTTAGGGTTAAAATCATAATAATAATTCTAACAAGATGTCCTTGACTAACATACTAATACGTATGTACGGCTCCCTGGGTTCAAAAAAGAACAAAACGATCAGCGTTTAGTAATCAAACAGAATATATAGGTATATATGAAAACAATCAGGAATATATAAATTATATGTATCATGAAAAATCACATTAAAAAAAATCACACAAAAAAACATGTGAAACACAATCACACAACAACATGCATGTGTATGTATATATGTACTTACATGCAAAACTAATTAAAAGCAATCTCAGTATACCACATGACAGATCTCAAAGGAAAGGAATATAATTCAAATCTATTTTAAGACCAAGAGGTGCCTGGGTTTTTAAGATATAAATCAATTTTAATTCCTTTTGCAACCCTATCCCATAGATATTTTCTCAATCACTTGGAATTTCAAACAGCAGGATCTCATGATAAACATGAAGGTGTCTTGAAAAGGGAGCACTGCTTTTTCAATTTACTGATGTAACAAGCTGTAATATGTTCTACTTTAATATCTGACAGGTATTTCCAGCATATGGTTTATTACAAATACATATAATAATATATACCACAGGGGTTGTCCTGCAATTAAAAAATGTGTCCATCTCATAGATTTTTGATTTTTTTAATTTAATTTGCATAGCATAAAATCTGTTGCAACACAATCATGCAACCAACAGTTATCCTCGACACAGCAAGGGAAATTTTTGCATTGGTACAATATGAATTTGCGGTTCAACAGCCTGTATTGGCAGATAGCACATTCCATGGTACCATATTTTAGGTACATTGCTATGCTTCTCAAAACATTTTACGGTGCAGTAGCATTCAACATCATTTACAGATATAATGTAAAAAATTGGGACAATTAGGAACTGTAAAACAAAGGTAAGTAGGGGTAACATAAAGGGGGTGGGAAGTGGTCTGTATCGGTCTAGCGGTCATGTTTAATTTCGGTCATTGTGGGGTTGATCCCTGTGGTGCGTTTATGTAGTGTGTGTTCAGCATCCTCATAATTCAGAGTGTCCTAGTGTCTTTGCAGATGCTGTGTCTATGGCGTGTAAGGAACAGGGCAGAGTTATGCTGGAATTTAGAACTACATGAGCAACCAACCCATCAGTTATGCAATCAGATAGTCGGGGCATCGGATTCTCTAAAGGGTTTAGCGTTGACCTCTTATGATGTCTAGGAACTATTGGCTCCATGTGAAGTCCAATACTGTATCCATGGGAGCCAAGTGTCTAAATAAATTTGCATCCTACCACGGGTTGCCCAATGCAGATCCTCTAAAGTGCATGTGTTTTCCACTCTCTCAATCCACTGGTTCATGGTAGGCAAATGTGGTGATACCGGTGTACTGGCATTTAAGCCCTTTAATCTAACACATTACTGGTCTGTAAATATGGAAATATTCTGATTACAAGGATTATCATTACAGGGCATTTCCACATTGAGAGCCCAATCTAACATGTTCCTGTGACGTTCGCAGCATCACATGGTATCGTAGAGAGGACTTGGATTCCATGCTTCCCTGTGAGAAGCATTTGGATGGATGAGTGTGGCACACCCAGCGCACACATCAAGTTCCCATTGCATCTCTATGAAAAGCACAGGATTGGACGTGAAACCAGTAAGTAAAAATGTTTTTTTTGTTATGTTTTAATGTAAACATGGGTGGTGGTGGTGGTGGTGGAGGGGGGAGGTGGGGGCTCCAGCATCTAATTAGTGAGGAAAATCTATAGCATTATACATGTTTGTATGATCCTTTAATAATACAGTGATGCAATAATCACAGCTTTCTCTACAGACATTAGACATTAGTGTGTGTGTGTATGTGTGTGTGTGTATAACCTTTAATTTGGGGCTATAATACGCTGACGCAGTCACACTAGATTACAGTAAAATATATTTCCTTTATTCAGTGCACACATTGTCCTAGAAAGTAGAATAATCTTTATTAAATTACATACTTATCTACCTTTGCCAGAATATTAGGCAAGTTAATGATGCCTTGCCATTTTATAGCAATCTCACTATAAAATGTAATACTCTGTCACAGTATTTATGCGACATTCATTTTAATTTGTGCCTAAAAAGTATAGATTGTTTTCAAGTAAAGATGAAATATTGTGTATTTTGAATTAAAAAACAAACAACCTTTTATCCTTTGATAATTTTATTTCAAAGAATTAATAAAGGAAGGTAAATCACCGTGCTTTGAAAATGTTCAGTATTATCCACACAGGAATTCAAAGTGAGTTTGAAATTGTTTTCCAAAATAACCAATTTGAAAAAAGAATTCTAACTGTTTAGGCTAAAATAGTCAAGCTGTGCTTGCAGGTAAATAAGCCTCAACTGGTCAATTTAGATTGTATTCTTGTAAAATGTAATGTTTAGTAAACAAACTTCTGTGTTTTCCATGTGTTTGTGTAATTTGATTTAAAAGGACACTTCACTGCTCCTACCCTCCCCACACCATTCTCCAAAAACCATAAAAACATTAGATATTAGATAGATAAATAGCCTGGACAAATTCCAGATCTATTATATGAAACCTTTGCAATCCCCCCTTCTAACCAAACCTAGACTTGATGTGGCTGATAATTACAGACTTCTCGGTGAAACTCAATGAGAAGATATTGCAATGCTCTAGTCAATTGTTTGTCTTAAAAGTTTAGATCTACTGAGCTAAACAACCAGGAAGTTACAGGTCCGGTTGTCCTCATGACAGTCACTGATGTGTAACAAGGATAATTTATAGATGTGCCAATTATTGAAATCCACACTTTTTGTAAAATGAATAATGAGGTCACACTCTCCACACATAAAGCTCTACACTACAGCAACCTAATGTGCTTTAGGAGTATGGAGTATCCCTTTAACGTTTTGAATTCATTTTGTATTCGGGACAAATCACAGAGAAATACCTACATAATATCAAAGAACTCCAAAACCAAAACTTGTTTAGCAGGTTACAAAAGAAAAGATAAAAGAAACATTTAAAAGGCGAGACTTCTTATTGCGTATTTAAACATGCACAAAAGTTTGATGTGAAAATACACTGTGGTTAAAATAAGTACATTCCATCTATCACATATAAGAAAAAACAGTACTAATTATCACAATGGATCAATTAAACATATTCAGCAATCATGATACAAATATAACAGTAACAAAGTAGTCAAACCTACACGAATTACTAAACATTCCATGTGATCTATAACAGGAATGCAGTGATAAGGCATAATCGGAAAGCAATGCTAGTTAAATCTTATTTGCTCCTAACTCAAAAAAAATATTGCATTGTCATTTTTTATTAAGTTCGCAATGTTTTTGGCATTGTGTTTTTGAATGATTATACCATTAATAGAAAATGAAACATATGCATAAGAGTTAGAACCTTATTTGTACACCAAAGGCATGAAGATAGATGACATTGTGAGCTATTTTGGTTAAGCACAAGTCAATAGGAACCGAATGTTATGATAAGCTGCTTGTAGAGACCAGGATGATCGTGCTGGACTTTAATTTTCTTACTCAGAAAAAAGTCAGCCAACCTTCAGACAAAAGCTTACAAATCCAGAAAACCAATGTTTAATGAAAACTGCCTGAAAAGGCTTACTCAAGTCATCTCTAAGGAATTTAAAGCCATTCAAATTCTATAATTAATTAAGCACTGGGAATGTCATGCAAGCAGGAACTAATTTTTCTGTTTCCAAAAAGTTGATTAATTATAAATAATAATAACCCAGAGGTGTCACAGTGTAGTGTGAAGCAAGAAAAAGGGCTTATTAAACCATAAGGACAAAAAAAAATAACATATCATCTTTTGGACACACAGCCTTAGTCATGTACAGTGAGGGGAAAAGTATTTGATCCCCTGCTGATTTTGAACAAATGCCCAACTGAAAAAGAAATGATCAGTCTATAATTTTAATGGTAGGTGTATTTTAACAGTGAGAGACAGAATAACAAAAAATAATCCAGCAAAACCCATGTCAAAAGAGTTATAGACTTGGGGACACTGAGACACTGGGAGAGATATGGGGACACTGAGATACATGGGGACACTGAGATACATGGGGACACTGAGAGACTAGGGCACTCTGGGAGACTGGGGACACAGGCACTAGGGACACTGAGAGACACCAGGCACACTGGGAGACATGGGGACACTGAGAGACACCAGGAACACTGGGAGACACAGGGACACTGAGACACTAGGGACACTGGCTGGGAGACATGGGGACACTGAGAGACTAGGGGCAACTGGGAGACATGGGGCCACTGTGTCCCTAGTGTCTCAGGGTCCCCATATTCCCCAGTTTCCCTATGTCTTCCAGTGTCCCAATGTCTCAGCGACCCCAAGTCTCTCACCGTCCCCATGTCTCGCCGGCTCGATCCTGCTGTCTGGACTCATTGCAGAGCTGCTCCCCAGTGGATCAGTGAATAGAGAGAGGCAGGGAGAGAGATGATGTTACTTCTTATCCCTGCCTCTCTCCACACAAACAACAACCCCCTACTGGCCGGTGCTGGTATTGCAGAATAATCACTGTTTATACTGAGACAGACATTTGTATTGCCGGTATTACTGCAATACCGGCACCGGCTAGGCAGCCTTAAATACCTGAGAAATACTTCTGAGAAATACCTGGTAACCATAAGAAATACATGAGAAATACCTGGCAATGCTAAGAGTAGTGTGTAAAAAAA